TTTACTTTATTGAATTCAGTTCTTTGATTGAGATTCAAGTGTTGGACAAATAATAGACATTAAGATCTTAGAAGTGAAGGCCATTTGTCTCGTATATCAATATTTGTATTCAAATGTGTTTCCAATTCTAAACAAATGTATTTATTAATAGTTTTAGACTTTAATACACGATAAATAGGAGACAATCTGCCATTCATTACATTGTTCACAAATTGTGATCACAATCGTTACTATATTTGATCTAAAAGTAGGTCCAAGTCTTGCATTTTTGATTTCATAGTCCCTTTCCTTCCTCTTTATAGTTATGGTTATATTAATATACAATTCAATTATTAATAAATTGCGAATTCATTTTAATTAATATCTAATAATAATTACTATTATAACGACAATATATGATCAAATCAAGTGACCATGGTTCTAATACATGTTCCCTATATTTTATAATTAATGTCAATTAATAAATAGTTTAAAAGAGTTAATAAAAATTTATATGAAAAATAAGAGACAAAAATATTTGAATCGATGGATAATAAATGAATACATAATTAAATCACAATTAAAGACAAACCAATGTTTGATTAAAACTTTAAAAAAACTTATGATTAATTCAATGCCATCTTTTGACACACAATTGTATTCATTCATCAATTTTATAAAATAAATGCTTATATTTTTAATTAAATATCTTTAATAAATAATTTGCGTAATATTTAGACATATTTAACATAATTATTAATATAATTATTTACACAATTAGTAAATCATTTAAAAATTAGATAATTAATCATTTTAATAGCAATTCAATAGTAAACTCTATTAATGGACGTAATTATTGAACAATATATCAATTTATCAATAAATAAATGACTGATTTGTGAATTGAATACAAAAAATAAACAACAATTAAATTGAGACCAAATGTCGCGACTATTGAGCGGATTATCAATCGGTATAACACTTACCACACATTCAATGGACACCAAAACCACTAAACAATGCATTCATTGATTGATTCATTCATTTCAGCGCAACGGTTGGGAAGTTGTCGATCGTTGAGCACATCCGCAGCGGTCTTCGGGGGAGAGTACAGACAATTGGGTTCCTTGAAGTCGATGGAGTGGAAGGACATCACCGACCGGTCGATGCAATCCATACTCATCACAGAAATGACTCGAGGAATGGGCGTCGCGTTGGGGCAGATGTTCAAAGAGCCGGCGACCATCAACTACCCCTTCGAGAAGGGACCCATTAGTCCGCGCTTTCGCGGCGAACACGCCCTCAGGCGCTACCCGTCCGGCGAAGAGCGCTGTATTGCGTGCAAACTGTGTGAAGCCATTTGTCCGGCGCAGGCCATCACCATCGAGGCCGAGGAGAGGGCCGACGGGTCCCGACGCACCACCCGTTACGACATCGATATGACGAAATGCATTTACTGCGGCTTCTGTCAGGAGGCGTGTCCGGTCGACGCCATCGTCGAGGGACCCAACTTCGAGTACTCCACAGAAACGCACGAAGAGTTGCTCTACAATAAGGAGAAACTGTTGAACAACGGCGACAAATGGGAGGCAGAGATCGCCGCCAACTTAGAGGCCGACCATCTCTACCGTTAGGGCGCCGACGGCTTGTTGTTGGCTTCAAATTGTTGTTTTAGATATTAATTACATGTATATTTAGGCTTTGATTTAACAAATATTAATAATAATTAAAAGATACTCTAATTTAAAGACTCTTTAATTCCTTTCTGTGAATGGTTTGCAACAAAAAAAACAAAACTATAAATAAATAGTTTGGACCAAAAAGGCATTTAAAAGGACTGGCAGTTTAGCGTAACCTCTGGCGCTGTGTGTCTGTCGCGTCTAATGTGAAGTTCACTCTAAAGGCGATGTAAAGTCAAAAGTTAACTTTTGGTTAACTTTAAATCACAATTTGTTTGTTATATTACAGTCAATAAAAACTCTTTTTACTCTAAATTACAAGTTATGATAAAAGCTATTAATTAATTAA